CCTGATCCTGCTCCAATCAGACAGAGGTGCTCCCCCTACTCTCCTGTCCCAGTCTTTCCCTGTCTCATCTCCATCTCAGCTCATGGCAGGCCTTCAAATATACGCTGGACGAACACTGAAAAGAGGGGGTCAGCAACAGCCAGAGGCTTTGCTGAGCTGGAAACCACAGCCCTGAGCACCTTCTCACAGTTTTCCCTACTGGGCAAAGATCCCAGGAAAAAAAGTGTGCTGTTAGCACAGAGGGAAGTGGAGTAAGTCAGTCATCTGTGCTTGGAAGGGCCAGGGGCGCCAGGTGGGCTGAGAGAGGGTGGAGGTGGGGGGCTCCCGCACTCTCCCAGGCCCCAGGCAGTGGCCCCACTTCACCCAACCATAAAGGGTCTTCAATCAAGACAGACAAGGCACACTCCATGCTGCTTCTCCTTCTGTTTTAAGGATCAAAAGCAGGAAAGGCCTCCAGAATGCGGGCTCGAGAGGCATCACTTGGCAAGCTCTGTGGACTCCGCGTGTCCTCGGACACTCTCCTTCCTGTTTCCCCTCCAGAGTCCTTGGCTGGGTCCCCACTTCCTCCCCTCGCATACCCCTGATCCGGTGGCCTGGCCCCTCACCCCATACACACAGAGGACCCAAGTAACAGGTTCAGGGCTCAGCCCCATGGCAAACCCACTGCTGACAAAGCTCCTGCGGGTGCCCTGCTCCTAACGCTCACACATCAGAGTCTGGTCCACTGCCTGGCCTCTGGCTCTGGTTCTGGTCAGGGGACTCACTCACCAGCCCATGACTTCCAGCCCCTGCCCCTGCGCTTCCCAGGGTAGAAAGCACTCCTTTGACCCTCCTGGACCTCCCTGAGGGCCTACTGAGTCTTCAAGACCCACCTCACATGCAGCCAGCTCCCTGTGACCCTCCCTTCAAGCCCCCAGCAGGACATCACTGCAAATTCCCCACGAAGCCCTTTATGCTCTGGAGTGTGTACTCATTCACCACCTCCACATCTGGGCCCCATCATCCAGCACCTTATACTCAGCTTGCTAAGTATCTACGGGGCTGAATCATTATTTTTTCTTCCTCTTTTCCCAAGTTAAGAGCATGGGCACCCTCCACACCCCAACAGCCACAGAAAACCCATATCCCAAGACAAAAATGTAAGGTTGAAGACACTGGGTGGAGGGGGTGAGCATGTCAGACACTGATGACGTGCCAAAGTCTCAGGCTGCTGCCCCCTCCCAACCTGAAAAATGTGCCTTAGGCTAGCCAATCCTCACGCTGCTGTAAATCTAAGCTCTGCCTCCCCCTACCTTCTTTAAAAACTCCCTGCCTGTCTACTTTCACACGACTTCCCCAGCCTCGACTTCCCCAGTCTCCATTTCCGTAGACTAGGGAACCTCGCCCGGGGCGTTCAAATAAATTACCTGGCCCTTTGTTGCCTCTGTTCGCCTGCTTATTTTGGCTAAAATTTATCTCACAGAAACCACACCAAAGCCCCTCAACACACACCAGCCCCACATTTGCTAGTGTGGTTAACAGATGTACACCAGCCTCCCAATTACAGCTAAGCCAACAGCCACACCACGGTGAGCCTGGGCCCCACTACTGCTTCTCCCAATTCCCAAGGACATGGGTGGGACTTTGATGACATCACCCACAACACAGAGCAAGGAAAGCTGCTGTCACGGAGCACCCTGGGCACACAGCACCCACGCATGCCCTTGGACACACATGAATGTGCACACCCACACACTGCGGCTCTCCATGACAGGCTCCCGAGCTGGCCCAGCAGGTGAGCCAACCCCTCCCCTGTTCCTTCTCAGATCGGCTCCTCCTTCAGAGGGCATGGGGGAGGTGAAGGGCACAGACCCAGGTTGCTCTGTTTAGGTCTCTTGTGCCCCAACTCGGGCAAGGGGATCCTGAGTAAGTGCCTTTCTAGAACCAAGAGCACTCAACCAAAGTGCCCCCAAACCCTCCCTTCTGTGTCACCAGTAGGCAAACTTACAGACACCTGAATTTACAGATGGCTTGTGCTACAGGTTCCCTAATGAGTCCACTATTTAGAAAAATAACACTTTCCCACAGAACCTGTGCCATGTGTACAAGGTAAGGCTCCTGACTCAGCCAACAAAAGCTTTTTAATCCACTCTGGACTTGAAATGCAGAGCCCTGAATGCCATACCAAAAGAATGAAAGTCCTCTGTGGAAAGCCCAGAAACCTCTCTGCCTCTTAGCAGGTCAAGGACACTGTGCCATTCCCCTCAGGGGTACCTAAGGGGACCCTCCCATCTGACCAACAGCCCTGCTCAGCGTGGCAGCTGTAAGCAGTCCTGCAGATCTGGGGTTTTAACCACTCCAGGAGCTGGCCTGTCCCATGGTCCCCCTGCCATCAGCTGATGTCATATCCCTTTCTAGGTCATTGCCTAAGCTGCCAGCCAGAATGCCCTACACTGCTCACTGTTCTTGCTATATTCCTGCCACTGCCCCCCCCCACCACCCAAATAAAGGCCACCCTCACAAGGTCCCTGAGGATTCTGACTCTTAAGAACATAGTTCATAATTCCCAAGCTGCCTTTGTACAGCCTCCCTCTTGTTCCCACTTTCCCTGCAGGGAAGACAAAGCCCTTCCTCAGATTGTCTCTAACGGAGCAAGAGAGAGAACTCACAAGTTTTTTTCTGCCGCCCACCCCCTGGGGACAGTCCTGTTCTTGCAGGCTCCACCCCTTGAGCAGAGCGGTGGGGTAAAGGAAGAGGCTGCACTGTGAAGATGCCCGGGGCGTTCAAATAAATTACCTGGCCCTTTGTTGCCTCTGTTCGCCTGCTTATTTTGGCTAAAATTTATCTCACAGAAACCACACCAAAGCCCCTCAACACACACCAGCCCCACATTTGCTAGTGTGGTTAACAGATGTACACCAGCCTCCCAATTACAGCTAAGCCAACAGCCACACCACGGTGAGCCTGGGCCCCACTACTGCTTCTCCCAATTCCCAAGGACATGGGTGGGACTTTGATGACATCACCCACAACACAGAGCAAGGAAAGCTGCTGTCACGGAGCACCCTGGGCACACAGCACCCACGCATGCCCTTGGACACACATGAATGTGCACACCCACACACTGCGGCTCTCCATGACAGGCTCCCGAGCTGGCCCAGCAGGTGAGCCAACCCCTCCCCTGTTCCTTCTCAGATCGGCTCCTCCTTCAGAGGGCATGGGGGAGGTGAAGGGCACAGACCCAGGTTGCTCTGTTTAGGTCTCTTGTGCCCCAACTCGGGCAAGGGGATCCTGAGTAAGTGCCTTTCTAGAACCAAGAGCACTCAACCAAAGTGCCCCCAAACCCTCCCTTCTGTGTCACCAGTAGGCAAACTTACAGACACCTGAATTTACAGATGGCTTGTGCTACAGGTTCCCTAATGAGTCCACTATTTAGAAAAATAACACTTTCCCACAGAACCTGTGCCATGTGTACAAGGTAAGGCTCCTGACTCAGCCAACAAAAGCTTTTTAATCCACTCTGGACTTGAAATGCAGAGCCCTGAATGCCATACCAAAAGAATGAAAGTCCTCTGTGGAAAGCCCAGAAACCTCTCTGCCTCTTAGCAGGTCAAGGACACTGTGCCATTCCCCTCAGGGGTACCTAAGGGGACCCTCCCATCTGACCAACAGCCCTGCTCAGCGTGGCAGCTGTAAGCAGTCCTGCAGATCTGGGGTTTTAACCACTCCAGGAGCTGGCCTGTCCCATGGTCCCCCTGCCATCAGCTGATGTCATATCCCTTTCTAGGTCATTGCCTAAGCTGCCAGCCAGAATGCCCTACACTGCTCACTGTTCTTGCTATATTCCTGCCACTGCCCCCCCCCACCACCCAAATAAAGGCCACCCTCACAAGGTCCCTGAGGATTCTGACTCTTAAGAACATAGTTCATAATTCCCAAGCTGCCTTTGTACAGCCTCCCTCTTGTTCCCACTTTCCCTGCAGGGAAGACAAAGCCCTTCCTCAGATTGTCTCTAACGGAGCAAGAGAGAGAACTCACAAGTTTTTTTCTGCCGCCCACCCCCTGGGGACAGTCCTGTTCTTGCAGGCTCCACCCCTTGAGCAGAGCGGTGGGGTAAAGGAAGAGGCTGCACTGTGAAGAAGGTGGAAGAGGGGAAAGGAGAGGAGCAAGCAAGCCTTGGGCAGGAGGTAGGAAAGGATGGCCCTCTTCCTCCCTAGGGCAGCTCCAAGCCCTCTTAGGCTGGGGGCTGGGATGCAAAGGTGAATCCACTGGAGCCCTGGCACCAAGGAGGGAGCACAGGCCAGTGGGAACAAAAAATGACAAAGTGGAATAAGAGCCACATTGGAAGAACATACACAAGATGCATGTGTGAAAATTCAGGAGAGAACAGAGGCTTTGGGGAGTCAGGGATGCTGCAGAGGCAGGAGGGACAAGCAAGACCAAAAGTGGGCAGGGCCAATGGGTTGTTGGGGAGCACAGGCACGGGAGACGAGAGCGCAGAGGGGGCTGGAAAGGAGCCCACCCAGGTGCGTGCAGGGGAGGGCACACGGGGCACCGAGGCATGGCTGGAAGGCTGATGGAACAGCGCCAGGGAGAGGCTGAGGGAGTCAGGCTGTGGCCTGGTGGCATGGAGGCATGGAGGAAGACCCAAACATTAGTGGTGGATGGCAGATGTGGGGAGCACAGAAGGGCGCAGCCCTGGAGGCAGGAAAACCAACTAGGAACTACGTGAAACAGTCCAGGTCTGACCTAAGGGAGTGGGGGTGGGGGGCAGTGCTGGAGAAAGGCGGTGACCTGCCAGCTGGTAGGGTAAAAGGAACTGAGTCTGAGTCTCCAGCCTGCATAACTGGGTGGGAGGTAGTGCCATCCACCAAGAGAAGAAACACAGAGCAGAAGGGGAGCGATGGCCACTAGGACTCTTGCCCCAGTGCCAGCCAGTAGCTCCAAGCAGCCCTAGGTGAGCAGTATTGCTCAATGCCTTGAAGGGGCTTTAGCACCCCAATTTAGCACCCCAATCTCACCTGCATCCAAATGTTGTCTGCAGCAAAGTTGTGATTCCCACGCAGAAGAAAATGGTCCCGATGAGCTGGCTGGTTGCCCACTGGTCATACCCCACGCACATGGCATCAGCCAGCAGAAAGGGCACAGCGATGGTGCCACTGAAGCACGTCAGGTAGTGCTGCAGGCAACAGGGAGACGGAGGGGGAGGTAAACCCTTCCTCATTTTCTTCACATGTTGTCCTAACTTTTTCCCCCTGCTGTTTTTAAAAAATGGCCCCAGTGAAGAATCTCTGGTGTTTTAGGTACTCACTTAAAGCATAGGCCAAATCATATTTCTTTTTCAGTATTTCTCCTTCCCATTACATTTTCTTGTCTTATTACTCACTTGTATTATCACTTATTAAATGGTGCTGCAAGTACTCGACGCAAGCACTAGCAGTATTTTACTTAATTCTTACTTAATATTTACTTAATTCTTACTGGGGCTATTTGCTTTTTTCAGCATCAATCTCTCATGTCATGGTCTTTCTTCTCTAATCTGTCAATACAAACTGCATTGTGCTGAACCATTCTTAAAACAAATCCTAGTTAGTCATGCTGTATTTCTTCTGGTATTTGATTTACCAGTATGTCAGGAAGAATTTTACATCTTTATTCTTGAGATAATTAGTCTACTTGAAAAAAAAGTCTCTCAGGTCTGGGGATTAAAGTTACACAAGCGTCACTGCACGGCGTGTATTTCCCATCTCTGTAGCCTGGCACCGTTAGACAACAATCAGGGAAGGTTTAAGGGCAAGCAGGCCCTGGAGGACTCCTCCAGTGAGAGCCCATCCCACCCTAGGCCTGGCAGAGCATTCCCAGCACCCACCGCTCACTGCCCCCACCACCCCCTCCCTAGCCCCCCAGCCCCCAAGAGGCCTCCTTGTTCAGTTCCCACTTCTGTTCTGCAAACTTGCTACTTTTCTTTCCAAAAGTTCCCCATCTAGGTTCACTTTTGCCAAAATGTGTTTGCTGCCCATGAAACCCAACACTAATAGGTGTTTCGCGTGGGGAACAGAACATTCCTGACCAGGATTTCTCAGAAGTTTAAGAAGACTGTGTATTGTCAAGAAAGGCATGACATGTGCAGAGCTTCCCACTCCTACATGACCAAAGACTTCTAGAGACATCTTAAATATAAACGTTTCAAAAAGCAAGCTTCCTGAACCTGGTTTGGGATACTTAGCCCAAGGTAAATTATTCACCAGGACCACTCAGCCCCTTTGGATGCAATGCCTCCTTAATAAGGCACCTTTCATGGGTTGTGTGGGTGGGGGGTGGGGTGGACTTGATAATACGGGTGAATGTAGTAACCACAATTTTGCTCATGTGAAACCTTCATAAGGTTGTATATCAATGATATCTTAATAATAATTTTAAAAAACTGAAAAAAAAAATAGTAAGACACCTTCCAGTTCAGGTTAAGTGCTTTTATACCTGAAAGGCAGGGGTGGGGACTGAAAACTGTCAGCAGGTACAGCCCCACCTCCAAGTGAGTAAACCTGTCTGGGCAATGAGACTGACTTTCTCAGCATCTGAAATACCTCAAGTTGAACCGTTCAGTCACACTTGAGAAAAGAATGAAAGAAGAGATTGTCAGAGCTCAGAACAGAGCCTGAGGCCACTACAGGCCGAGAGAGGGCATCAGAGAAAAGAGCCTCCCGTCTTGTCCCTTCTCCAAATCACTCCCTCCAATCAGTAGATGGGAAAAGGGTGTGTCACCCCCAGTATGACCTGTGTCCCCTTCCCATCCAGCCGGGTCCTCCCCACCCCCACCTGGCCATCATCCTGGCTCTGCTCCCACTGGAATCCGCTGCAGAGCAGCCACTCCCACAGCAAGGCTTCCCATCCTTTAAAAACATGACTGAAGCCTCCTACTTATGTCCCGGCTAAAGCAGCACTTCTTAGTGTCACCCATATTTTATGGCAGTGTTGGCCATGAATGTGGACTGGCTGGCAGGAATGGGAGATAAAAATGAATGCTTCTCTCTTGTCTTCTCCCTCCATCCTCTCCTCTTTCTATTGCTCTACAATCTTTTCTCCTTCCTTCTACATCACTTGCTTATTCCCTGAACAGCTTCCTTCTTTCATTCCCTGGTTAACCTGCTCCTCCTGTTCTTTTCTTCCTTTCTGCGTTATCAAATTGATGTTAACAACACCCATTCACCACTCTTAAAGGAGCAATTTATAATAAAATCACCAATAAATAAAAACCACCATTGAATTAAAAAAACATCCAGATGGACAATTCAAATATCTGTGGTTACATCATAAAGAGGACATCTTACCTGCAACCCCAAAAATATGCACAAGTACCAGGGAGGAACGTCTTCTATGGTGTAAATCATGTCCGATCTCTGGGGGTCTAGACTGCCAGTGCTATCCAAGGTTTCGGCGAGAGAGCTCTGTGAGCAAGAGGAGAAAGGGATTAGGTTCAGAAAAGCAAGGACTACAGTTAGCTCAGCTCAGAATAGGCCACTGTTACTGAAGAACAACTTTATGAAGTGGCTGCCGCTCTCCTGTAAACTCACGCAGCAACCTTTGATGCAATGCTCAAGTACACAGTGGGACAATCTGTCCTCAGAGTTTGGGAGTTCAGTATCCCTTGCCATTGATTCATCCCCAAGAGCACCCAGCTTGTTCAGAGCCTCTTTTCCAAGCCTAGGGGCCTCCTGTGTAGAAAGAGATGCTCCCAGGTTGAGACCCAAAGTGATCCTCGGTATAAGCAGTCCTTGGGTGGTGGCACCTCTTGAAGAAATGGTATAAAATGCTAACTCCTTTCAATCACAAAGCACTAATCTGCCTCTCCTATGCTGTCCCATTCCTGCAAGGAAAAAGATCTCTGCACCTAAAAATAAAGTCCTACACCTTCTGTTAAGACACTGATGCTCAGATGCAGTGGTGAGTGAAAAGTATGCAGATGTGATGGTTCAAATTTTGTTTAAATGCAACCTAAAAACATATTTATAGTTTAGGGGGCAGTTTTTCCTTCTCCCCACCCCCCACAATTACTAAGATTTTTTTAAAAGTTAAGTGTTGCATGCTTTGGGGGCCAAAATCTTCACAAAGACCAGATACTTTAAGATTATGGTCTGGACATTTCCAGCCAGTCAGCTTTGCTTCTGAACTCATCCAGTATCTGAGCCAAACAAAAGTCAAGGTAAACTTGAGTTTTCCCACATACCATGAAAACAGCTTTGATTCTAAACCTCTACGAACAGTTTCTTGGAAACCAAGATATCCATTTTGTTTTTCACTCCATATTTTGTCACCCAATTTCCATGCATGGAGGGACAGGGATTTGGGGACCAAATACCCTCAAAAGAAGTGATGCAATTCAGCCTCACCTTCTAAAGCCTAAAGGTAAATGTCTGATATAAACTGACATTTGATCTAATCCAAATGTGAACTGAATATGACCTTTTGGAGAGAAGCTTTTTTTCCATTCAAACAATGAATATTGGCAGATTTGCATTATTGCTCAAAGGGTTAAAATGGATTATGTGTATCTTTAAAAAATTTGTTGGTAAGGAGGGCAGAGAAAGCACACGCATGTGAGGAATCTGATACGTGGATTAACTCAGCAGGTCTGGGTTGTCCAAACCCTGCACATTTCAAAGAAAGGTTTGGCCCTTGCCTGGATAACCCTAAGCTCTTGGAATATCCTGCCTCTTAAGAGTATGTCTACCTAGGCCTTAGGCTGCCTCAAATCATTTATGCTAACAATATGATTTATGGTGAGGGCCACCATAGTTATCAGTATGACCTCTGGAGGGGCTAGAAACAATGGTCGTCTGTATGAGTTGGCAGCCATGCCTACATGACTGACCCCCAGTAAAAACAAAGCTTAAGGCAAGCTTCCCTGGTTGGCAACACTCCTTGAGTGTTGTCACACAACATTTTGGGGAAAATTAAGTGCTTCACCTGTGACTCCACTGGGAGAGAACAACCTAAAGCTTATCCTGGTATCCCTGGACCCTGCCCTACAAACTTTGTCCCATTGAGTTTAATCTGTACCTTTTCTCTGAAATGAACAGTAATCATGAGTGTAACAGCTCTCTGAATTCTGTGAATCCTTCTAGCAAATCACGGAAACTGATTTGGGAACTCCCAACTCAGGTCTTGGGAATCCCTGAACTCATTTTACTATTTTGCTGACATGATACAAGCAAGGGTATTGGACTCACTGTGCAAAGGACAATTTAATACCATCATAGTACCTAAGGTGAGGAGTCTCACCAGGGTGTGGGAGTGTGGGCGGGTTACTGCTCACAAAGTAACAAAAAGAAATATCTGGAAGTAAAGTACAGTAACACTATATCAAATAGATTAGTACAACCTGTTGCTATAATATGGCAGGCAATATTATTGCACTGATTTCCAAAACAACTATAAAACATGAACAGAAATTAAAAGACAGGCCTGGCAAGCTAAGATTAAGACATGTACACATACACACTCACACATAAGCACAGTATTTTTCTTAATGAGGGTGGTTCTATAATTCAGAAATGTCCACGGGTGGTACTGAGATGACACAGGGTAGGGAGCACAGAGTGGTCAAGGGGCTTGATTAACCCTGTCAGACACATGCTGCACTGGCCCTTGTGAACTATGGCACCACACTCAGTTATCACTACATGAACCATGTGAACCATTTAAAAAACTGCAAAAACAAAACCTCCAAAAGCAGGGTTTCTTTAAAAGATGACTACAGTTAGTAATGCCATGACCTGAGAAGACTTTCCCTTCTTATTCTATGGTCTGAAATGGTCTAAAGAACAAGCAAATTACATGTCCTTCAAACATCTGGGAATCAGAACTCAGCTCTGGTTGGAGCCTTCTTAAGATCATTAATACCCTTTCCCATTGCTTCTGTGGTTATTTATCCTGTCTAGCATTTTTGGAGCCAACTGTGGTCTTTTCCTCTCTAGGGAATAATTTCCCTTAGAGAAGGAGTCTACCAATTTTTCCTGTAAAGGTTATAGAGTATATATTTTAGGCTGCATGAGCCATATGGTTCTTCATAACTACTCAACTCTGCTATTGTGGTGCAGAAGAGCCTTAGACAATATGTAAACAAATGAGTGTGGCTGTGCTCCAATAAAGCTATTTACAAAAACAGGTGTTAGACCAGACTTGGCTTGCACGATGTAGCTTGCCAAACCCTGCTATACAGTTTTAAATTGATTATCATACAGTACAGTTAATAATTCTCTTGTACATTTCTTGTCTCTCCTCTCACACTGCTAATGTATATTTGTTCTTCCTCATTTTTTTCCTGAATCAGGTCCACCAAAGATCAATTTTATCGGTCTTTTCAAAGAGTCAGCTTTTTAGTTCCAGTTAAACGTGGTAAATTGACCTCCTGTGTCATTTCTTCCAACTACTAAAAACACACAGAAGGAATAAATAGGACACATATCTACAAGCTTGAAGCAAACAGGAGAAAGAGAAATGAGATGAACACATTTCTGGACTATGTAGTGTTTGTACATGTTGTGACCCATTTGAGAGAGGGAAGGAACCGACAACCAGGTGCTTGTAGAGGGCAAGTGTGAAGAGTCAGCTGCTGACCAGCAGAAGCCCAACCAGACAGGTTCTATGCACAAGGGAGCAGGGATGGGAAGATGGTGGACTTTTAACTCCTCAAACCAATCAGACACCCTACTGCATATTGCTATCTTCATCCTTCAAAACAAAAGCGCATTGTTTGAAGAACATAAACCACAAGTACTATACAGGGTTAAATGAACACATGAAGAGTGGGAGCCTCAACCACTTCCACAATGCCGGTGGGGTTACAGAAGCCAGGCTTGTTATACCCACAGAACACTAAAAGGATTCCTTTCTAGAGGAACTGATCTGCCTCTGAGACAAGATGCAGACATGTAC